GGCCGTCTTGGGGCCTCCTGGAGCCGTCTTGGAGGCCTCTTGGACACTCTTGGGGCGATCTTGATGGCCTCTTAGGCAGCCTTGGACCGTCGGAATCCGAAATGGAGCAAAAGCCCAAATCCTCGAAAAACCTACGGGAAATCAATGATTTTGACCTCTTCGGGCCGTCCTTGAGGACCCTGGAGGACCTCTTCGAGGCCTCTTGGGCCGTCTTGGAGGCCTCTTGGAGGCCTCTTGGGCCGTCGTGGGCCGTCTTAGGTGTTTCATGTGCGAACTTGGAGGCATCCTTGACTCTCTTAGGACTTAACACGCCTGAGATTGCCTCCAAGACAGCCGCGAAGCGCTCCAAGCGGGCTCGAAGACGGCGAAGACAGGCCTCAAAAACGACTTCCGGCAGCGTCCGACGGGCCAGGAACGCTTCAAGACAGCCGAAGAGGCCGGGGCAATGCGGAAAGATGGTTGCCGCGGGGCACGCGTGCACGGGTGCGCTGAACTCCTTGTGGGGCACGATCCGCGTGAAGGGTCGCGCGAACACGCCCACTGAGGCCGCAGGTGGACCTCCTCTGGGCACGCCCCGTGCCAAGCATGTTCCGAAATGGGCGCGGGGGCGCCATGCAAATATGCCCGTTCTGGAGCATGATTCGCGTGACAGGTGTGCCGACATGGGCGGGGGGGGTGGGGGGGGGCGCTGTTCGAACCTTCCGGGCCTTTAATTCGGTGGTGCTCCTTGTGGGCATGATCCACGTGACGGGGTGTACCGCCATGGCCCGGGGAGGGGGGGCGCAGTGCGAACCTTGTTTCGGGGGCCGTGGGTGGAGATCCCTGTGGGCCACGATCACGATCCGTGTGCGAGGTGTGCCGAAGTAGGCGGGACGGCGGGATGCGAACCTTGTCTTTGGGGCCGTCCGTGGATGTCCTTGCGGGCCACGATCCGTATGAGAGGTGCGCCGAAGTGAGCGGGCCGATGTTATGAAGCTCCCCTCTGGTGCCGCAGATGCATTTAGTTGCGGGGCACGGTCCTCGTGAGGGGCGTGCCACTGTGCGAACCTCGTCTCTGGGGATGGAATCACGTGGGTCTCCCTGTGGGACGCGATGCCTGTCAAGGGTGTGCCGGCATGGGCTTGGGGATCCAAGCTTGTCTGATGGGCCGCAGGTGGAGCCCCCTGAGGTGCACGATCCTTGTGACACTCAATGTCCCCCAATGCCGAACACTTTAGACTACAACTGGGGCTCGCTGGAACCTAAGCGCGCGCGAAGCGCGCGTGGTTCTAGTTACAATAGGTACTAGGTCTGCGTGTTGCACTGCATACCCGCGAAGGCGAAGCGGTTCCTTCGCGGCACAGAATGCTCGGGCTGCAATTTCCCGCAGAAGGCCTGCCTCTTGGCGCACTGGGCAGACTCCCGGCGGCCGCGCTGCTGGATGCGGGTGCGGTCACACGCGATTCCTCCCAATGGCGAGCAGCAAGAGAGGGTAGATAAGGAATTCTGCTTTGCACAGCACGCAGCGCAGCCTGCGGGCCCGGCCGCACGCCCCGCATTCTCTGCCCGCCAAGAGGACCGATGGCCGCATCGTCGGGCGCCTCGAACAAATTGCGTAGTTGGCCACTCGCGACTCTGCGCTTGACTCAATGCTACCCCGCGCTTGACCAATCATACCGACACTGTCAGACTCCATTTGTTGTGTTCGTGTGTCATGCCGTTTGAGATGTCATATTTTGCCACACATATATTATTGGTTGGTCCCCCCCTGAGATCATACATTTTATCTTGAATCGCATTCACGTTCATCATAATCTGATTCAGATTTCCCTTTTCTTCCGTCCTCCTCCTCATTTGCTTCCCACTGTTCGTCCACATCCCTCTCCTACCATCTACCTGGATAGACCCAAAGGGATTCGATTGGAAAGCCTCACAACAGGAATCCATTGTCAAGCACCACAAACGGATCTTATTGGAAAGCCTCACAACGGGAATCCTTTGGAAAGCACAACAAAGGGATTCTATGGAAAAGCCTAACAACAGGAATCTGTTGTAAAGCGCCACAAAGGGATTCGATTGGAAAGCGTCACAACAGCAATGCGTTGGAAACCACCAGAAAGGGATGCTATTGGAAAGCCTCACAAAAGGAATCCTTTGGAAAGGGCCACAAAGGGATTCCATTGTATTGATAAGCGCCACAAGAAGATTCTATTGGAAAGCCTCGCAGACCCCCCCCCCCCCGGCACCCTCAAACGACGGACTCGGGAGGGCATCCTCCTAAGCACCCCCCCTTTCCGCTCTCCCTCTCTCCCGCTCTCCCATGATGATAAATATGATGAAGGTGATGGTGATGACGATGTTATTGAAGCTTGCTTAGAACCTCATCCAAATTCTGTAGGAATCCTCTCGACCAGGGACCACTTCCATGTCCAATTGAAATCGTGTCCGATTCCTATGCAAATTCAATGATAATCCTCTGGATCTGGGATCTGCTCCGTTTCCATGCAAATCATATGAGATCCCCATTCGAATTCAATCGGAATCCTCTTGATATGGCACCTGCTCCCTTCCTAGTGAAATCCTGCTCTTCCTCTTGTTGTGCATATGTTGTTGAGAGGGAGAGATACATACAGAGATAACGAGATAGAGAAAGAGAGAGAGAGAGAGTCGGGGAGAGTTCCTCTGTCTCATTCCCCTCCTCCTGTTTTACTTGGAAATAGAGAGGAGAGAGAGAGAGAGAGAGAGAGACGGTGTGTGAGAGAGAGAGAGAGATAGAGAGAGAGGGGGGCGAGGGGGGTGCGAGTTAATGCCTCCCTCTTCCTCCGATTCCTCTCTCATCATCCTCCTCCTCCTTATCCTCCTCCTCCGCTCCTGCACATATGCGTGAATGACGAAAGGAAAAGAGAGAGAGACCCCTATTCGAAGTCAATCGGAATCCTCTGGATCGGGGATCCTGGATCTGTTCCGCTTCAATCTAAATCTTATGAGATTCCTATTCGGATTCAAGTGTAATCCTTTTGATATGACATTTGCTCATTTGTTCCTATTGAAATCCTGCTCTTCCTCTTATTGTACAGATGTGTTTGGGAGGGAGAGGAACACAGAGAGAGAGAGAGAGACAGAGAGTCGGGGAGAGAGAGAGAGAGAGAGACGGATGTGAGGGTGAGAGTGTGTTCCTCCTCCCTCCTCCACTTCTTCCCTCCTCCTCCTCCTCCTCATGTTCCTCCTCCTCTTCCTCCTCCTCTCCTGCACATCTGCGTGACAGACGAAGAGGGAGAGAGACAGAGAGAGAGAGAGAGAGCGAGAGAGAGTCTCATTCCCTTTTCCTCCTCCCCCTCCTCCTCCTGCAGGAGCGTGGCAGCCGTACACATGGATCTTCTTTTGAAAAGCCTTGCAAAGGGGCTGATTTCTGGAGGGAACCTTATGGCAACACACATGTTATTGATATGTTTGAAGGTTTTGGTGTAAGGAAACCATGTGCAAACATAGATGTGACTGATATGTTTGAAGGCTTTGGTAAGGGAACCCTGTGGAAACGCAGATACTATTGATATTTCAAGCTTTCTGGATCGGAGGAGGGGAAGGAGACAGCAGGATCACGCAGGAAGAGAATCAGGAGCCCGATCGAAAGGATATTGAGGAGGAGGAGGAAGAGGAGGAGAAGGAGGAGGAGGGGGGAGGAGGGGGAGGAGGAGGAGAAAGCAGGAGCACGCAGGAGCATGAGCAGGAACCTGCAGGGAGGAGGGAGGATAATGAGGAACTGCGCAGGCAAACCCTGTGAAAACACAGATATGATTGACATGTTTCAAGGTGTTGGTAAGGAAACCTTGTGAAACACAGATGGTATTGATTTTTTGAAATTTTCTGGGTGCGGACGCGCTGCAAGGAGGTGTGTGGGAGAAGCAAACATGTCAGTAAGATCTGTGTGTTCATATGGCTTCCTCCAGAAAGCAGCCCCTTTTGTCAGGCTTTTCAAAACGAGATCCCTTAGTAAGGTTGCCACGCTCCTGCAGGAGGAGGAGGAGGGGGAGGAGGAAAAGGGGATGAAGAAAAAGTGATCTAGGAAGAGGAAAATGTATGATCTCTGGGGGCGACCATATTCATATTTATACACATTATATACATCATATGAGATGTGCATACAGACACATGTACAGATACACAAACACGTTCCCATACAAACACACATGCATGTACACTTGCATCGACATGTACAAATAAATACATACACGTATGAGCATGCATATACACATACATGTACGTTTACATAAACATGTACATGTATATGTACATGGACATGTCCATGTATATGTACATGTACGTGTACACGTGTGGAAACGCACACGAACACATATGCGTGTGTAACAACCATGCACGCGTAGCGGCAGCGCATTTGCAGCCCTCACACCCGCACCCCGCCGAAATCATACCCGGCGCACTTAGCATGCCTGCCCCCCGTACAAAGGGGCGACGCGACGAATTTCCCGCTTTTGAGCACAAGCCAGGCTGCGGTGCACTTGGGGCAGCTCCCGAAAATAATATGCGGGACGCTCGGAAACGCTGCCCCCACCGAACAAGAAATCAATTGTGACGGACGTGTAGCCCAATCGAGTTGTCCCAGTGGCAGTACAGTGCAGGCGTGTCAATGTGTTGGCAATAGGATGTGGCAGCCAAGTGGGGTGTATATATGATGTAAAATATAATGATAAGAATCATAATAACTATAATAATGATAGTATTAAAAGGGACATAACATGACATAAACAAAAAAATGTTATGCGTAGCCGTGGTGTTTTGTTGTTTTTGCACGTGGCGCGTATGGGGTGATCATATTCGGGGTCGGCATTGTGATGATTTTGTTGGCTCGGGCGGTCACAGGTAAAAATGTGCAGAAGCATTTCGCGTTCATTGAGGATACACTCGCCGTAGCCACTTTGTGGCTCAAACCGTTTTGCAAATCTGACGGGCGGGCACGCTTGCTTGGCCCGCGCCTGGAGAGTTAGGCGTCAGGACTTGCAGCGATGAGCAAGACTGGAACAGTCAAATTCTTCAACGAGGAAAAGGGCTACGGCTTCATCACACAAGACGATGGCATGCCGGACCTTTTCGCGCATCGCAACGACTGCGTCGGCAACATGTTGCAGGAGGGCGACGCCGTCAGCTACGACCAGGCCGAGAACGATCGCAACGGTAAGCCCCAGGCCAAGAACGTGACAGGAGGCACCGGTCCGCCCAACACCGGCATGGGCGGCGGCGGTGGTGGCAAAGGCAAGGGAGGCAAGGGCGGCAAGGGCGGCAAGGGCGGCTTCGGCGGCGGCGGGGGTGGCTTCGGCGGCCCAGGGCCCATGATGGGCGGCGGCGGCGGCGGCTTCGGCGGGTGCCCGGGCGGCGGCTTCGGTGGCGGGATGAAGACTGGGGCGGTGAAGTATTTCAACGACGAGAAGGGCTTCGGTTTTAGCCAGCCGCCTGCGGCAATTTTCTCAGCCGTGCCCTGCGCAGCGGGCCTCCTGGGCCGTCTTGTGGCCCCGCTGGGCCGTCTTGGGTGCGTCGTGGTCCGTCTTGGGCCCCGCCTGACCGTCCTTGGAGCCTCTGGGGCCCCTCTTGGAAAACCTCGAGGGGCCCTCTTGTGCCACATTGGGGTCATCCTGTGCCATCTTGGGGCCCTCTTGGGCTGTCTCAGGACTCTCCTGGGCCATCCTGATGCCTCCTCGGGGCGGTCTGAGGCCGTCTGGGAAGCCTCTTGAGACGCTCATGGGAGTTTGTGGTCTCGTTGGCTCTTCCAGTGTCCTCTTGGAACGATCCTGAGCCGAGCGATGCGAGTCTCGCCCCCCAAGCAAAAGACTAAGGAAACCCTTGGGCGTTTGAGTGATTTGGGCCTGCCTTGGGACCTTGTTGGCCTTCGTTCTGGTGTCTGGAAGCTTGTTAAAGCCTCTGTAGCGCCTCGTGGCGGCTGTCGGGCGCATGTTGAGGCATTGTGGTGGGCCATCTTGTCGGCCTCGGTGGCCCCCTTTGATTGTTTTCAAAGCCTTCGGGGGTCCTGGAGGGGCGTCCTGCCGCCCAGGGAGCCTCGGGAGACTGAGGGGATGTACGCAACCAGATGACACTGGGAGGGGGAGGGCCTTACAGATATTTTGTTAGCATGCACTCGGCCTTCGACCACGCCTCAACGTGCCAGCGCGCACGATGGCGGATCATCCAGGACGACGGGTCGCCCGACATCTTCGCCCACAGGAACAACGTCAGCGGCAACCCGCTGATGGAGGGCGATCGCGTGACCTACGAGGCAGGCGTGGACGACCGCAACGGGAAGCCGTGCGCCGTGAACATCACCGGGGGCACCGGCTGCGGCGGCGGCTTCGGCGGCGGGGGCGGCGGCAAGGGCGGCAAGGGCGGCAAGGGCAAGGGCGGCGGCAAGAACGGCGGCGGGGGCTGCAAGGGCGGCTTCGGCGGCGGCGACGGAGGGGGCTTTGGCGGCGGCATGGGCATGGGCGACCTTGGCCCCGCCCCCGGCGACTACGGCGGCGGCATGATGGGCGGCATGGGCGGCAGGATGCCCGACCCCTACGGCGCGCCCCGGGACCCCTACGGCGGCGGCGGCCCCATGGGCTACGGCGGCCCCCCGCAGCGCGGCGGCGGCATGATGGGCGGAGCGCCGCCCCCCTACGGCGGGCCCCCCGACCCCTACGGGCAGGGCGGCATGCCCCCGTCCTACGGCGGCCCTGGCGGCATGCCTCCGTCCTACGGCGGCCCCGGCGGCATGCCGCCCTACGGCGGCGGCGGCGGCGGCGGCGGCTTCCAGGGCGGTTTCTGAGAGAGCCGATACACGCGCGTCGGCTTCCCGGGGGAGCGTTGCGGTGGCCGGGGCTGGTGGCCGGAGCTCCCCCGCGAGCCGAGAGTCTCCGTGCAGGTGGGTTTTCACATCGCGCCGCGCCCACCAAATCGCTCTCGGGCAGCGTACCATGACATGGCGCCTCTCCGAGTTCTGAGTCACGAAACCTTCGCTGCTGCGTTGCTGCTGAGTTGCATGTAGTCGCCGTTTCGTCGCTTGCACGAGAGCGGGTCTTGATGGCCGCGCCAAGTTCACCCCTCAGCTTGCTTCTGTCGTTGCCTCCTTGAAGCTAACCTGATCAGTGTTACGGCAAGCGGTGCCTGCACCACAGCACGCATTGTTCTTCTTCTGGCCGCAGTGTGCCTATATGCGGCTGACGCTCCCGTCAATATTGAGATATGTTGGTGCGCTTTCTTCGTTGATATCCGCTTCCTCCCACTGGCCCCCTGTTCTCTGCTCTCCTCCCTCCCCCGCTCTCCAGTCTCCGCCCCCCGCTCCTCGAGAGAAGCGCCCTGCGGTGGCGTCCTTCCCGGGAGGGCTCGCAGGCGGTCCCCCCGTGAGCGTTGCTTCGATTGCCCATGTGTGTGTGTGTTTCCCGAGCTCTCGATACCCGCCAGCTTCCTCTTCGACCGTACCCTCTCTGGGGGGTGTCTTCTCTTTGCCCGCTGCGGGTGATTGGCGCGGACCCCAGAATGGGAGGAGGGAGGGGAAGGAACAAAGAGAGATAGAGAGAGAGAGGAAGGGGGGAAAAAGGCGGAAGAAGGGCAACGAGTTGTCGCTTCCAGGCAGTAGCCCGTGGGCAGCACATGGTGTCGATGGACCTGCGGCGTTGTCAATGAGCGCGCTGGATGCAGCTGAAGGAGCCCGAACGGAGAGTCGAGTTGGCCTCCAAGCCTGCTAGATCGGCTGCCACATCGGAACGTGCCGAAACGAGTTCGGAGGGTAGATGCCCTTGCCTCCCGAGGGTCACTACAGCGGCGAGCTTGAGGCAGTTGCCGCGACGTCGCGCGTCAGCGAAGGCCCGCCGCGGGCACGGGTCCCAGGACCGGACCCTGGGCGAGTCCAGCGGGCAGGCAGCCTGCAGCAGCTCCCAGGGGTGCGCCGCCCGCCGTCCAGAGCACAGCGCCGCAGCTTCACAGGGGAGGCTGGAGGAGGAGGAGGAGGAGGAGGAGGAGGAGGAGGAGGAGGAGAAGGAGGAGCGGGGGGGGGAGCAGGAAGGGAGGGAGTGGGAGCAGAAGGAGAGGGATCGGGGGTGGACAGAACCCCCACCCTGACACGTCGATTGGTGAGTTGTCCGCCTTCGGTTCTCGAGAGGGCGCCGCGGCCGCCACTGTCCAGGCCTGCGCCCGCCAGGCTTGGGCCCGAGGTCGTTTTCCCCAAGCCGCGTTCTACGAAAGGTGGTTCTGCCCATCCCCGAAGGGAGGCAATCAGCGAAGTGGGAGCAGCGGACTGATCTCTGAAGCTGCGGTGCCGTCGCGGCATTCGCGGCACCTCGATGCGGGCCGCTTGTCCGCTCGTCCCTCTCGTCGCCTCCCCCCGCCGCTCTCCTTGAGCCCGTGTGCGTGCGCCTCCTCTCCTGCCTCCGAGAAAGAAGAAGCAGGCTTCCTCCTCTTCCTCCTCCGCCTCCTCCTCATCTTCCTCCTCCTCTTCCTCCTCCTCCTTCCGTAGCCATGTTGGCTCAAGGGCTACTTGCAAGGTGGTTGCGTTGCCCACACCGCGCGAGGTTTCTCTCACGCGGCTGGCGACGGCTGGCCCCGTGTGCTCGCAGCAGTGATATGGTTTGCCTGCTGTATCCTACCACATGTGCGTGCTGCTGCTATGCCTGGTGTGAGGTCTTACGTCGACGCGCTTGCAGTGGGCAAAGCTTTGTCTTCCGCTCAGAAGCGCCGCCTTGAGCGGGATACGTGGTACCGAACGGCGCACTCCGAGCCTGGCAAGCGCGTCGCGGAGGTCTGGGAGCATGACCGCCATGACGTGCGCACGATGGTCAAGAGCAAAGAGCTCCAGAGGACGCTGGACGCTACCACCACTGCGCCTGCAGTGCCTGGGAAGGTCGCGACCAACCGCGCCTGGAAAGATGGGCGCGCCTCACACAGGGCGAGTACGAGCAAGCGAGGAGAGTTCTCGTACGCGCTGACTTCGGCAAACACATTCACACGGCGACGGCGTCACAGCTAGACTCCAAGCGAGCGGCATTGGCTGACATTCGTGGTGGAGATGACGATGGTGTAGACGCTCCTGGCACCTGCCCCCAAACTTGGCCACGACCGCGACCCTCCAACCGAGGAAGACCAGGCAGTGGCACCTGTCTTTCGCCACCGTGCGCCAGCAGACCCTTCTTGTGAGCGGCCTGGACGAGCCCCGCCCCGCGCGGGAGGCATGGCTGCCGGCGACAAGGTGGCACTCGCCAACGACGCCGTCGTGCAGACGGAGACGGCGCCGAACTCGATCGACACCCTCATCCCGTACTTGGCTCTCGCTGGATGTGATTCTCCACAGGCTGGCTACTCCATTGATGTTTTGCAGCGACTCTGCGCATCCCATGGCACAGGAGCCCCTCGCATGAGGAGCGAATGCACTGGGACACCCCCGACGGACTCGTCTCCGAACTTGACTTCGAGTGCCAGCTATGCCAGTTCGAGGCGCGGTCGCATCTCTCTCAGCTTCGCGGCGCTGGGTCTGGCTGCCTCGTTGCCGATCGAGGTGGCGATACAAGTCTTCATCTGGTTGTCGATGTCTGTTTTCGGGATCGTGCTGGAGCTCGGGTCCGCGTTGGCGATCGAGACAGTGCTGGAGCTGTCGATTTTCACTGCCTGAAGGTCCTGCCCGAGGGCCCGCGGGTCGCCACTTGCAAGACCAAATGCGACGACCACTCCTCCTCCTCCTCCTCCTCCTCCTCCTCCTCCTCCTCCTCCTCCTCCTCCTCCTCCTCCTCCCTCTCTTCCTCCTCCCTCTCCTCCTCCTCCTCCTCCTCCTCCTCCTCCTCCTCCTCCTCCTCCTCTCCTCCTCCCCCCCTCCTCCCCCTCCTCCCCCTCCCCCTCCCCCTCCCCCTCCTCCTCACCCTCCCCCTCTCCCGTCGGCACGGCAAGCCACTCTGTGGCTTGTGCGACGACTGCGGGCTCTCGCATCTGCACGAGGTGTCCGACCGAGCGATCGCCGCAGAACATGAGCGCCTCAGTCAACGATGTCCTGCATGTGTTGGGCCACTGCCACTTACCGCTTCACTCCGGCATGCACGCGCTGCTGGCCGCAACGCCTTCGAGCTTCAAGCACTTCACGAACGAGTACGTCGCGGTGCTCCTGCTGCTCTTGTCCCCCATTCAGATGGCCGGCATTCTTCGGATCGCCAGCCGCTTGCTTCCCAGGCCGAACCGGTTGGCGAAGACGACCAGGACCACAGCTGCGACCTCGCGGAGGGCGCGGGGGACGGTTTCGGCGAGGCTCCTTTCTTCCTCCAGCCCGCAGCTGCGCATAGCGATCACCATGTTGTTGGTGCCCGTCGCGCGTTCCATGCAATTTCGTCGCTTCTGACCTCTGCAACATATACGGCCACTTCGGCGCCAACTCCAATTACTACCGCGCTTCCTGTGAGAAGTTATTCGGCACCTTCGGCTCCGTCGGCGGCAACTACAGGTACCGACACCGTCGCCGTCAGATTCCTCAAGTTCGACTGTGGCTCTTCCCGCGGGAGCTGTGCATGAAGATTTTCATGCTGGGATGGCCTCCCCGACGCCCTTCCCGACGACGGTGGTGCTGTCCCCGTCCAAGACGCTTGTGATGACCTTCAGCCACCTGATGGTCAACCACAGCTGGGCCACGATGATGATGCACCTGTCGAGGGAGCTGTATCAGTTCGCGTCAATCGTGACGTTATGCAACCAGCTGGCGCCGCACGACGGCAGGGTCCTGGTGGCGGTGATACTACGCATGGGCACGCACCCGTTCGCGATGCGCGCGAGGGCCCTCAGCATGGCGGTGGTCAACGGCAGCTGGGTCGGGAGGGAGAGGATCCCACCGACGGCGTTGTTCCCCATGTCTCGGCGCCTCCGAGTTCGTCGGCGACTTCGGCCTCGTCGGCAGCTGCTCCGAGTTCCGCGGCCCCTCCAGCTTCGAGCTCTTCGCGCGGTAGTCGACGCGGCGCGGCACATCACAGCAGGTCTGCTCGGGCATCTGTTGCGGCTCCTGCGCGTGACCTTCCACATGGGGCTAAGATTATTGGCCTGGCTGTGCCTGGTGTTCTCCTACTCTGTCGTACTGATCTGTTCCGCCTGCGATGTTGTGACCAGTTCCGTGCAGTTCTGGCTGGTGACTTGACTCGCCCTTGGTGGGCTGCTGGCGAAGATCGTGCTGACCTCCCCCTTCTCCCCGCAGATGTTGGTGCGCCCCCTGGTATTGTGGCGTCTGCTTACAACGACGACTTCGAGTCCACCGCCATGGACCCCTCCTACCTGTCCGCCGCCTCGGACGCCCACTCGCCCCGCGCCGCGGGGGGCCTCTACCAGCCCTCCAGAGAGCCGCAGGACTGCAACGCGACTGACGTGCTCGACCAGAAGGCGCAGTACCTGCTGAGAGGCTGGAGCGCGCGCCCCGCTGCCTGTTGCTAGGCAGCCTTTTAGGAGAACACGCGCCCCCCCCCCCCCCGAGTCGATGGCGCCTCCCCCCCCCCCGTCCTTCTCATCCTCCTCTTCCCCCTCATCCTCCTCCGGGCATGACGACGGCCTCGACGAGATCAGCCATTGCCTCCAATGCCGTCGCGCCCTCCACTGGGCCACAGAGCCGCCAAAGTTTTGCGCGCCGAGAGATTATACATCGCCTCGGGCTCGGCGCCCCCGCAGACTATCCGGAGGAGGCGGCCCGCGAATTCTCGCGCCAGACCACGGCGCGCAACCTCGCCCTTCTCTCGTACCTTCACTTGGAGGCCAAACTTTCTGCAACGGCTACGACAACCCCATACTTCCACGCTCCCCCTTCACAGGGCGTGC